AATACAAAGATTTCCAAGTCTTGATTCTAGGGCTTGGGGACCTAACAGTCTAAGATGGAGCTTCTCAAAATTTAATGTGTATGTGAATACCCTGAATATTTATTAGTAGATGATTACCCTACAGATCTGGAGTGGGGCTGGGGATTCTAATCAGTTCTTAGGTGGTGCTGATGCTGCAGGTCCACAAACCACACTTCGAGTAGCAAGAGAGGCACGGATAAAGAAATGGAATAATGTGTTAGGCATTTGGAAATCTATATGGAATACTATGTGAGCACCAAGCAAGGAATGGGCTTTGTATCTGTGTTAGAAAAGGCTTCACATAGGAGGAGACTGCTGGGCTGAGTCTTATTTTCCTAGTAATCACCAGGGGAAGTCAAGAGTCCTACACTACAGTTCATTTACTATATGGTGAGCTGGACAGGCCATCTAGACTTCCAACCCTCAGTTGTCTTTCTCATTTGCAAAATAAGAGATTGAAAAAATCAAACCCTTCATGGCCCTATAAATGGACAACTCTCATTAGATAAATTTTAAAATCATTTAATATAAGAAGATCTGTTTAAAAGTTAGGGTGAAAGAGTATAAAAGGTTCTATTAATGAGCCTAACAAACTGACCTACAAATGAAAGTACATCAATCAATAAGAAAACAGCACTTAAGCCTTAACAGCCTCTTACACTTGTGTTTTCCTATTCAGCTGCCTACTTGTAGCCAGGCATGTGGCCTCACAGCTGAACTATTTTAAAAGAACACTACACTCATTTGCTCAGCACAATAATACTTAACATTTATAAAGTACCTTTCATTTTCAAGGTACTTTACAAACATCAGTTAATTACTTGTCACACAATTTGCAAGTTAATTTTCATTAGTCCAATTACAAGTGGACTAGATTAAATTAAAACAGTGAAGGCAGGCCACAGAGGGAGGATCAGAGCCAAGGTGAGAATGCTGGGGGCTCTTTACCGCCTATGCTCATAATTTATTTGTAGGTGAGAACTAGCCCTCACCAGGAAAGCACTAAGTCACTAGAAATGGAAAAAATTGCAATTTCTGAACATCTTACTGAAGCTTGCCCCCAAGAGCCCAAATGTCATATAAGGAAAGAGATGAAGTATTATAAAGGCTTATTTACACCTCCCCTCAAACATTCTATATACCAAAGGAGAAAAGCAAGCCAACACTCAGTGACTCCATTTTCAAAAAAAAGTGTTCATTATGTTAGTCCATTGCTCTAACAAATACTTGAGATAAATCAGCGAGTGTGTGTGTGTGTGTGTGTGTGTGTGTGTTTGTTTGTTTGTTTTACTGGAGATAACCCAGGCCTTATTTATTTATTTAGGTACTGGGTATTGAACCCTGAGATGATTTACCACTGAGCCACATTTCCAGCCCTTTTAGTTTTTGAGACAGGGTTTCAATAAGTTGCTTAGGGCCTCACTAAGTTCCTGAGGCTGGTTTTGAACTTGTGATCCTCCTGCCTCAGGCTACTGAGCTATTGGGATTTCAGATGTGTGCCACCACACCTGAACCCCATCTTTTAAAAATTTTGAGATGGGGTCTTACTCAGTTGTGGAGGCTGGCCTCGATTTGTGATCCTCCTATTTTGGCCTCCCAAGTTGCTGGGATTTCAAGTATATGCCACCACACCCAGCTTATTAATCAACTTTTAAGTAAGAAAGGTTTATTTTAGCTCATAATTTCAGAGGTTTCATTCCATGGTTAATTGAGTCTGTGGCAAGGTAGTACATCATAGTGGGGCAAAGATGCTCATCTCATGGAGCCAAGAAGCAAAAAAGAGACAGGGAAAGAAGAGGCCAGGGTCCCAATATCCCCTTCAAGGGTCTATTATACCCAATGACCTAACTTCCTTCCACTAGGCCTACCTCCTTAAGATTCAACCATCTCCCAATAGCATATAGGCGGGCAACTATGCCTTTAGCACATAGGTCTCTGGGAGATAGTCCAGATCCAAACTATAGTACATTACTGTAATTCACATGAATTTTGGCCTTTTTTATTATACTTTTAAAGGATAAAGTATTTTCTAGAATGTGTTTTGAAGGCATAATCATACCCTAATTGCATACCTACTCTTTCTATAGAGAATAGTTAAATATATCCTTTATAAATGAGAAAAATACATCTTAGACATCAAGAATTTTATACGATGGGAAGCAATTTTATTGTTTTCTTGTGATTTCTCTTTTATCCCCAATGTTCCAAATGTCCTCAAAGTACGTGTAGAACCTTTATTGGTAGAAATAAAAATAAAGAATATTATTTTAAAAACTAACCAATCTGTCATTTCAGTACTTCTGATTTACAGACTAGGAGAGGGAGGAGTTTGGTATAAAAGGTTGATGAATTTGATAGTAATTTTAAAATGTCAATTTGTATAAACCTGAAATTATATCATAATTTTTTAATATGGAAGAAAAAGATGCCTCATCTTAGTAATTATTCAGTCATAATAAAATGTGATCAGCAAAGGAAGCATTATATGGAAATTCCTTAAAGTAGATTTTCTACTTCCTTTGTATTTCTCCAGAGTGCCTTGTGTACAAATGTACACACACCGCATACAGCTCATTTCTTCTAAGACATAGAACTAGACCATTTTATTTTGTTTTCAGTATTAAAAACTTGCGTCAAATTTTGGCATGTACACGAGTAAATGTATGCTATAAAAGTGCTCTTTAAAAATTAGTGTTAAGCCATTTTCATTTTAACATTTATTAAAAATCACATTTTATAAACACTAGATAAATTACATATAACAGCTACACATAAATATGCAGAAGCAAAACAAAACAGCAGTATTTTAACACAAGAGAAATAAACTAATATGTGTAAACATGTACAACTTAATAAAATTACTAAGTCTTCATTACTATTTTTTATGAATTCAGAAGGTATTCAGAAACAAATTTAGTACATTGATTACTATCAAAGTTTAGAATTATAAAAACAACTATCATAGCACTACTTATTTGTAAAAATCTTTTCAAACAGTCAGAATCCAAATGACTGTCTTTAAAGATAAATTAAACTTGGCTGAAAGCTCTTATCCAACTGAAGAATAGAAAATTAACTTTGGTTAACAGATACTAAGTTTAGTGGAAAATCTTAAATCAACATCTCCCTTATGTGTTAGTTATATTCCTGAGTTTTTGCTAAAATATGATAGATAAAAGAACTCAGTTCATAGCTTTGCATAAAATTGTATTTTAGGTTTGAAAAAAGTATCATGATTATTTTAAGTATGAATAGTGCTTAATAATATAATTATAAAAGGAAGGGATATAGTTAATTTAGCTTAAGAGAAAAGTTAATGTCCTCTTGACCACTATTTGCAAAGATCATTGGTAAATTATGATCCAAATTATATTAAACATTTTTGTTTATGCCTTATGAAATTATATTGATTTTGTAGAATAGAAGTTCAATGATTCTATAGAAAGAAATTAAATGATGCAGTGCTAATAGCACGAGGCCAGGCACAGTGTGGATTCTCAATGTTACATACTAATTTAAAGTGAAAAATTTTTTAATGTATTATTTCTGCATGTTAACAAATTCCATATAGTAGTTATAAGTTAACCTGAATATATCCAAAAACATATGAAACATGAAAATACATTTTCAGTTAACAGTCATAAAAGTAATTTTTACAAGTGGCCATTTTTGGTCTTAGTTTTATCAAAATAGAATTAAATTTCAGATTCTTTTTAAAAACAGTGCCACAAAAGCCATTTTCCTATTAGCTGCTATATGAGTTGTGGATGGCAGGTTCAGTATCTTCTCACAAGATCAACCCATCAACACCTTCTGAATTTATTACTTTAGATCAAATCATACTCTTTAAGTTTCTCCTAAAGACTGAACCTGTGCATCTGAGGATTAGGTCCAAGAATGTGAGTAAAAATGTGAATTTCTAAACAAGTATATCTCCCTTACATCCTGGAAAATTACTATGGTCAGATGGATTTGAGAAATAATGCTTTGACACAACCAAAATGATTTTACCATATTGACCATTACTTGGCATGAATGGCAAATCTAATGAAAATCAAATGTATGAAGCTTTTCAATAACCTGCATAGCTTATCATCATCTCTAAGTATTTCTTACCTAAAAGCCACAAGGTTATGTTCTAATTATCTTGATAGCCCAACAAGAGCTGATCAAACAGCAATTACCTTTGTAAAAACTGCTGGTGATTGGGCCTCTATAGTCTTAGTGTTGCATATACTATTTCTTACTAAGAAGTATGAGTCACCTAGCAGTTGTATTAAAAAACTAAACAAAGTGGAATTTATTCAAATAGTCATACTACTTATAAAGTAGTTTTTAAATAGCTATACCAACATTAGTTAGTAGTTATTTGCAAAGCTGGTTATCACATGCCTATTTCTTCTTTTTCCTTTTGAGATGGAGATCTCACTATGATGCCCAGGCTGGACTTGAACTCCTGAGCTCAAGTGATTCTCCTGCTTCCACTTCTGATGTAGCTGGGACTACATGCACACACCATCATACCCAGCTTTCAAATGCCTATTTCTTTAAAAAATTCAGTTTACAAATTATATTACAGTATTATATCAGTTCCATGTACAAAATGTCACTAGTCATATAATACAACTAGGAGGCAAATATTTAACTGGATATGTATACATGAAAAAATGTGCATATGTTCATTCTAATTTATCAACTAGTAACAAATATCTCTAAATTAACAAAAAAGATAAAATAAGCCATGAAATGTATCTCTAACAAATATCATGGAGCACTGAGGAAAGTTGGAAAGTTTAAATTATTAGAGATTTGAAAGAACATTTAATTAGGATTAAAATCACAAATTGATAGCCACTTACAGTTTTTAATGAGAGTATTATTTGCAGAGCAACAAAATCATAAATTCATTGAAGTAGGTTAAATAGTTTTTAAGCTGATTAAAACTACTTAATTTAAATGAACTATTTCTGAACCTCAAGTAAATGATGCTATATTCAACATGTTATTAAAAATAACCTTTAGCAATTACAGCATTAGTAAAAATTACTGCTAATACAGAAAAGCTTATTATCAAACTGTATACACAGAAGTTGGAAAAGGCTTAATACCAAGTCCTTGGTTCCACATTGCATTTCATATTCCCATCTGTATATCAGCAAAGTTGTAGAAGCTGTCTACATCTCCAGATGCTTTTTCCTTGTTTTCTGATACAAACATCTATTTTAAATATAGAAGAAACAAAAATAAATATTGTGACTCTTAAAAGCCACATCACCAACAGAACAAAGGCACAAACTTATTATTTAAAAGGAATTAAAATACATCATTTATAATATTTATTTATTTATTTATTTATATTTATTTATTTATTTTTATTGGTCATTCAAAACATTACAAAGATTGCAGAATCACATCGGTTACACATCCACATTTTTACATAATGCCATAATAGTAACTGTTGTATTCTGCTACCTTTCCTATCCTCTACTATCCCCCCTCCCCTCCCCTTCTCTTTCTACCCCATCTACTGTAATTCATTTCTCTCCTTATTTCTTTTTCCCATTCCCCTCACAACCTCTTATATGTAATTTTGTATAACAATGAGGGTCTCCTTCCATTTCCATGCAATTTCCGTTTTCTCTCCCTTTCCCTCCTACCTCATGACTCTATTTAATGTTAATCTTTTCCTCCTGCTCTTCCTCCCTGTGACTCTTAAAAGCCACATTACCAACAGAACAAAGGCACAAACTTATTATTTAAAAGGAATTAAAATACATCATTTATAATATTTAAACTGTAGATTTTCTGTAGAATCCATTCAATATCGTTTCAATAGCTGCAATGTAAATTAAGCTCTTATAAAAGCACTTATGATATAATTAAGGCCTTCATTTTCATAATACTTCAGTTTTATTTTATTATACCTGGAATCTTACTGTTTAATGCAAAATATTATGAAAGCTACTGAATAAGAAAGCTTATTTAAAGAAAAAGTACTCTTTGTTTCTTCTATTTTATAATAAGAAATCTCAATAGTCTGAGAAGCAAAATTAAAGATTATGTTTTGAAAGCTGCTAAAGATGTTATTACTAATTTTATCTTCTTTATTTTTCATGGTACTGGGGATTGAACCCAGGGTCTCCTGCATACCAAGGAAACACTCTACCACTGAGATACACCACATTTTTTGGAGACAGGGTCTTACTACATTGCCCAGGCTGGCTTCAGACCCCTGGGCTCCAGCAATCCTGCCTTGGCCTTCCAAGTAGCTGGGATTACAGACATGTGCCACTGCACCCATTATTCATTACCAATTTTAAATGAACTATTTTCTGAACATCAATAAAGCAGTACTCAATAGAACCATTCCTACAATATTTACAAATATTGGCCAGGAAGGAATTAGAGAAGTCCTGGGTGCTATTCTAGCTTTATCATAAGCTAGCTATATGGTGTTGGAATTTAATACGCTTCTCTCAGCTGTTTCCATACATGTAAAATGAGAAAGCTGGATGAGATGCTCTCTAAATCTTTTAGCTCTAAAGTGACTTAGTCATATAACCATTTTATCTCTCAGTTTCCTTTTATATTCAATCTGGTATTTCCCCTCTCCCTTAGTACTATTGTGATAATAAAATGAGACAGAAGAAAAAAGTGCTTTAGATTTTGCAAATTCAAGATATAGGACAAAATAAAAAAACTTCCTTCCAGATATTTATCAAAAAACAGTCAATTATGCCCAACAACTTGGGAGGCTAAGGCAGCAGGATTGTGAGTTCAAAGCCAGCCTCAGCAAAAATATGGCTGGGGAAGTGGCTAAGTGGTCGAGTGGTACCAAAAAAAAAAAAAAAAAAAAAGCCAATTACATATTCATTCATTTAATCCTCTTTTATATGTTTGGGTTTTTATTATATTAAGCTTTTCATTAAAGGTTTTATTGAAAAACTTTTAAGCATACAAATGCAAAAGTTTATAGTGACTTTTTACTTTAAAAAAAATTTCATTTTAGTTTTATATAACACCAGGATACACCCTGACATAATCACAGAAGCACAGAACACAACCCACTGCATTTTAGTCCCTAGCACTCCCCCACAACTCCCTACTCCCCTCCCTCTACTCCAGACATCCCTCTTCAATTCATTTATATATATATATATATATATATATATATATATATATATATATATATATTTAAATTAGTGTCTGCAACGATACACCCAATGTCAGGCCCCACTGTGCCTCATCTATGCATGCACATATGAAAGTTAAGTCAGATTCATTCCACTGGTTTTCCCGTTTCCTGTCTATTCTTCTTCCTTCTCCTCCTCCTCCTCCTCAATCACCTTCATCTACTCTACTGATCTTTCTTTTATTTTGATGAAATTCCTTAAGTGTAAAATTCTTAGAGCAACCTCAGCAACATACCACATTTAGAAAATGCCCACATGTGATATTTCTAGATAGTCCTCAAGTTCAATTTTTGGTGATAAATTACTGAAGCAAATAAGAATGATCTTGTGTAACAAAATTGTCCATCTAAAGAATATAATTTTAGAAATAAAATGCTTTTCAATATATAATATTTTTTAAAATGCAAGGGACATAAAGAGACATTTGATGACCTTTTACTTTAGAAACTTTTACTATGTACTATTGAAGGTTATTAATAAGCAGATTCTTAATTTCTACCCATTTAAAACAATTAAAAAATTTAGTTTGGCAAGGAAAAAAATCAAAACTAATTCCCAATTATTTACCATAGGTTCTAAGAATTATGATGTGCTGTTGTTTTTAGTTCCAAGGAAACCAAAGATAAAAATACTACTTGATTATAAGGAAAGGAGATGAAAGTATAGATTGAAATATAGTAATGAAGTCTTGTACCTTGGTCCCATTGAATATCTCATTTACAATATATTGACATCCTTCTACAGCACCATCTCCATTAAACTCCAAGGCAATCACAGGACCTATAAGCAAACCCAAGAAGTGTTTTCTTAGTATGAACACAAATATATTCTAAAATTAATCTTTGTATTCTTCCCTGAAGAATCTCCAGCATTTTCCTTGGGGGCGAGAGAAAAGGAAGAGGGAAGTAGACAGATGGGGCTTATCATCTCAGTTTCTTCTTCCTACACTAATCATAAAACAAATTAACATCGTCTCATTTCATGATGAATAGCTGCAGTGCTATTATAGGACTAGTGTCACATTTTTAAAGTGTTGTAAATAGTCTGGCTTTTCTGGGGTTTATTCTTCTATAAAAGCCACAGAATCTACACTGATTTAGCAGTACAAAGAATACTTGATAAAATAGCAAATAAGATCAAAAGCAATCCAAGTCAACATAAGTAGGTCTTGCCAGGCAGCCAGCCTTGCTTCCAACTCTCCTACTTACCAGCCAAGTTTTGGGCCATCAACAATGGAGCTAAGCCAAATAGGAATTGAGGCAAGGCACCAATGCCCATCTGAAAGTATTTTCCTTGAGTGTGTCTCAAAGCTACATTCTAGGAACAAAGTTTTTTTTTAAAAAAAATCCTTTGAGTAGAAGGATGTGTGTCTCCTTTCCCTTACATTAATTTGAACAATTTAAAAACTCTCTGTACCTTAAATTTTGGGGTAGAGATTCATGATTTAATCTTTGGTAAGCTTGGATTGAAATGTAGAATTGGCACTACTGGTGTTAAATTGCTGGCAAGCATAGCCATAAATTACACTAGCAAAACATGCCCTTTAATTCAATTAATACTTATTAAAATTTCACTGCATCCCTAACAGATTTAATTTTTATTTCCTACAGTGATTGGGAAGTCCTGACCTCCAGGGAATTACAAATTTCTTTTTAAAAAGACATAAGCTCATTAAACAAATACAAAACAACATAGAATAATGAAGTACTAAGCATGAAATAACAAGGTGAATCAGTATGAAATAGTAAGTTGAGTGTAGCCATGTGCCACAGGACAAAGCATGAGAATGAGAAAGAAAAGATCACACTACATGGGGCACCAAAATAACTGAAGGCTTCTGATTTAATACAGACAACATACACAGAAAAGGCAGGATATATAGCAGTCAATGATGCACTTAGACACAGAACAAATTAAAGTATGAGTTTTTCAGCATCACAGTGTAGAGATCAAGATAAGTACTGGGTAAAGAAAAGAGGGTAACTGGGGACATTTTTTTTTGCTCTCAGCAGGCTCTGTGAAGATAACATTAAGCGGGCATCAAATGGAGCAAGAGATAAATGAGGTAAAAGTAGGAACAATTCTAAAGGGAGGCTTAACAGGAAAAGGTTCTTAGTTTAGAGAACCTACTTCAACTCATGGATCTGTTTAGAAAGTTTGATTGTCATGTAAAAAGATAAATGTTGAGGTAAAAAAACTAAGAAAAATGTTTACCTAAGAAGTGTTATGGTTTGGATTTTAAGTATCCCCCCAAAAGCTCATTTGTTGAAGGCTTGGTCCCCAGTGCAATAGTGTTCAGAGGTAGGGCCTTTGGAGGGTGACTGAATCATGATGGCTCTGACTACATGAATCGATTAACCCCACTTATGGATTCATAGCTTAAGGGGTTTGAGGAGTTGGGGCCTTGTTATAAAAGTGAGCTCACTCTCTGTTTCCTGGCCACCATGAGGTGAGCAGCTTTGTTCCACCATGCACTCCCCAGCATGATGTTCTGTCTCACCACAGGCCCAGAAATACTGGAGGCAGATGGCAGTGGACTGAAACCATGAACCAAAGTGAATCTTTCCTTCTTTAAGTACTCAGTTATGGAAAGCTGACTAACACAAGGAGAAAAGATGGGGTCAGGTGGAAAGGACAGGAATAGAAGTGAAACTGCTCTGAATATACCTTTCTAAATATATTTTGGACATTGGATATCATATCAACACCTCAAAAAACAAAATTAAATATGGGGGCTAAAAAAGCAAAAGCAGTTCCAAAAAGTAAAAACAAGCTGAAACAAATGAATCTAACTGCATATTAAGTTAGTGACATGACCACACAGAGAAAATAATTATTCCAACCAACCTTACGAGGCAATATTTTGCCTGTACACCCTCAGTGGAATATGGTCTAAGGATAAAAAGATAGAAGGAAATCTTAAAATTTCAGTAATCTCAATTTTAGTAGTAAAATTTGCTGTTATTCTGAAACTATTACATGCATATTATAGGATAAGTTAAAGCATATTATAAGGAACCAAGATTTTCAGAACAAAAGTATTATAAAATGAAAAAAAATTAAATAAGAAACATATTAGCTGTGAGTTGGTGCTATAGTTTGGATATTAAATGTCCCCCAAAGGCCCATATGTTAGAGGCTTGGTCTTCAGACCATGGTGCTATTTAGAAGTAGTATAAACTCTAAGAGGAAGTGCCTAGTGGGAGGTCTTAGGTCACTGGGGGCTTTCCTTCAAAGGTGATTGTGGGACTCTGGTCTCTTTCTCTTTCTCCCTTTCATTCCAGCCCATGAGGTGAACAGGCTTCCTCTGACACATGCTCCTGCCATGGGATGCTGTGCTCCAATAGGCCTAAAGCAACAGGGCCAATTGGTCATGGGCTGAAACCTCTAAAACTGTGAGCCAAAACCAAACCTTTCCTTTTTAGTACATTGATTATCTCAGGTATTTTGTTACAATAATGGAAAGCTAACTAACATAGTTGGGAATTGTTAAAGCTGGGTGATAGGCATGGGGGTTTGTTATACTATTGTTTTTTTATATTTAAATTTTTTTCACTAAAAATAAAAGATCTGGGGGCTGGGGTGTGGCTCAGTGGTAGAGCACTTGCCTGGCATATGTCAGACACTGGGTTAGATCCTCAGTACCATATAATAATAAATAAAAATAAAACAAAGGTATTGCATACATCTACAACCAAACATTTTTTTTAAAATAAAAAAGATATGACTGGCAAGTTTAGAAAGGTCTTGACAGAGAAGAGCTTCCTATATATTTTTAATAAAACACAGCTAAGTTAACCTTATAAAAGAGAAGCCTATAATCTTAATTTTTTTCATTTAGAAATGTCAATGTGAACTCATGATCTCTTTTGCTTTAAAACAAAAACCTTAGTTCTGGCTGAATCTACTTGTAAATACTGGAAGAAATGACAACCCAGTAATAAGTAGTACCTGTATTTCTAAACATCATTCTCCACTAACAAGAACTAAATAATTTTAAAAAATAGATAATTCCATGTCTAGGAAAAGAAATGGATTAAGATCAACCTGGAACACCCTTTTTTCTGGTACTGGGAATCAAACCCAGGGTCTCATACATACTAGGCAAGCAACTATATCTTCAGTCTGATTTGGAACATCTTGTTGAGCCAAAAAGCAATGAAGCTATCAAAGGTTAATGGAATTATATCAAAAGGACACAGAAACCAGTCTTAAGGGGCTCCCGCTGGCCAAAGATGAGACATGGTAAATAATTCCTGCAGTTTATTAAAACACTGATATATAAAAATTCATGAGTTCATAATTATATTTAGAAAAAGAAACAAAACTCACCGTATACCACTGGAGGCTGCCAGGGTACCAATTCATTACTGTCAAAATTGATGTTTATTTTTCTCTTTATTTATTCTGCTTTTCTAATATGAAGCATATTTCAAGTTAGCTAAACACCTCTGGCATACAAGGAGAAATTCTGTTAATGTCCATTAATAAATGCAGACAGAGGTAGTGATACAATTAGAAACTGGTCATTTTGCAAATCCTATTAAAATAACTGGTTTAGGCAAAAATCACATTGTTTTCAGCATCCTATATGGATGCTAAATTGATAAGGTCATTACCACCTGAATCCACTGATCAATTTTAGCATGACTGAAAGTACAACAATCAAACATAATTTACCTTCTCATTTAAAGCAAAATAGTACTGCCTATGAAGAATTATTGCCAATAAAATAATTAAACCTGAATGTAAATAAGGCTTTGATCTAACTTCTAGTCTATAAGAAAGATAGAAGAACGAATTAGTCCCAAGAATACTAAAAGACAGTTGACCAACTGTTTTCAACAAGACAAAGGCATGAAACAAAAAGAGGAGGAAGAATATCTGTTTTTGGTTAAGAGATAAATACAAAACAACCAATTACAATGAGTGTGTCTATTTTGGATCTGGATCAAATTAACTCTAAAACTACATAAAGAATTCTGTTAGATAATTGGGGTAATTTGCATACAGACTGGATATTAGATGATCTTACAGAATTATTGTTAACTGTTATATGCATTGTGGTTACTTAAGAAAATATCTGTTTTAAATTTTGTTTTCTTTCACATAGACACTGAAATGCTTAGGGATGAAATGTCAGGACAAATCAAAATTTGATTAAAAAGAGATTATAGATTTTAATTTTTGTACTGGGGATTGAACCCAGGGGCATTTAACCACTGAGCAACATTTCAAGCCCTTTTTATTTTTAATTTTGAGACAGGGTCTCACTAAGTTGCTGAGGCTGGCATTGAACTTTTGATCTTTCTGCTTTCTGCTTCAAGCCTCCTGAGCCACTGGTATTATAGACATGTGCCACTGCACCAAGCAGATTATAGATTTTTTAAAGAATGAGAAAAAGGTAAGAAACTAGGGGATGGGACACATGGGGTCATTAAACTCTACTTTTGAGTAGAGGCAGTATATAAGGAAATTTCCAAAAGCACTGAAATAAAAAGCTGTTAATAAAATGTAAGATTCCAGTTTCACAGAGTAGAAAGTGTGAACTAAGGTGGAATAGAGAATACTTTTATTCAGAATTACTACAAGAAAGCACTAGTTTAGGCATTTATTACTGAAATTTCCTGTTTTCTATAAGGAGAACAGAATGTAGAATACAGAAATACAATTTTGGTAGAATTACATAGGCATGCAATTTAGTTAATATTCTTTAACTAGAATATAATGAACTTCTAATAAGCAACATAATAATCTTCTGATGTACTAGTGCACCAGTT